ATGAATCTGCAGTTTCCTTAACACTTCAGGCCAAAACACTGAGTTTCCCAGAACAACTGTTTTTTCTTCTTTGTAACTCTGAGTTCTGGAAAAACCAACCATTCCATGGACCTAGTTATCTTGCATAGTGCACATGGTATGAGATTATTTGGTAAGAGTAGAAAGCTAGGTTTCCTTTTGGGTAGGACTAGACTATTTCCTGTTCAGAATAGATTTTCTAAAACATACAACATTGAATTGAACCCATAGATACCTTTTTCTGTCTCTAAGTCTTTTTATTTTAATGGTAGAAAATGTTGTAAAATTATTTTATCATCTTATTCTTAACTGTTCTTAGGAAGAATCAAATCAGAAGAGACTGAAATTGGAATCTGTTTATCAAATTCACTATAGAATAGATGATCTGAGGCAATACCAAGCAGTCAGCATCTGTTTTCTGTGTTAGGAGACTGCAGTCGTAATTACACACAGGGCAAGTGGCTTAAAAAATTGATCAGTTTTGAAAATTAGGTGTGGAAGATAGAAAGGAACCTGAGGACTTTGATAATATTTTTGTGATATAATATGCTGTAGCGAAAAGAGTTACTTTATAATGAGTATTTTTAGCTTCATTCCCACAATCTCTTCAGAAATGAAGTATTGTAATCCTTTTCTTTAATAGACTCTGATGACTCCTGCTCTATAGTAAAAATTAAGGAAAAGAATTGCTGACAACTTAGGCAAATTTTTATATGTCTGTTTGTTTTCCTTCCTAATTCATCTTAAAATGAAAATGCCAAGCTTTTCTTTCGATATATGTTGACATTTGTGAATTAAGATAACAATGCAGTTAATGGGAAGAGATGACCCCTGGATTCAGATATCCAGTAGTTCCAGTCTCAGCTTTAGCACCTAGCAGTTATGTGAACTTTATTCTCTGCACCTCAGTCTCCTGATAATAACTACTTTGCAGAGTTGCTGTGAATATTAGTTTAAACAATGGACATTCAAATGTAGCTATTATTATTATTATTACCATCAATTATTCTTTCCTATAAAAATATGCAAGTTCCTTGGAAGTATACATTTTTGAGGAGTGATCAGGGATAGGGTATGATGCTTTTATTTTTTCAGTTTCTCTTCACTTATTAAGTGGGTTGTGGGTATGTAATTATGTGTGTGTGTTTCACATATTATTTGCTAGGCACTATTTCAGGCACTTAGAATGTACATTATTGTAGTGGGTACATTTGAAAACTGATAAATCCTGCAAAAAAATAAACAAGCTAAGAGGGATAGGAGGTTGAGAGTGAGTTGCAATTACTAATAGGGACATTGGGATATGCCTTATTGTGAATATGACACTGGTTTTCTGTTCTTAGAGGTTTTCATGAACTATCTTTTGGAATTGGAGGATGGAAAGAAAGGAGATGAGAGTAAAGAATAAGAGCTTGCTGATTTATAGGAAGACATGAATATTTCCTTTGGTTTAAGATGTCAAAACACAAACTAAGATACAAGAGTAAAATATTCTAGGTGGACTAGTTTTATTTTATTCAATGTGAGCAAAAATTTTTCTAAAATTTTTTGTGCACACCCTGCCTTCCCAAACAATGGCTACTGAATACAGTGGCCCACCTCGCCTATGACTGCTGGAGGAAGTCATCACCATGACTCATATCTGTTATTGGACTTTCATGAAGCAAGTCCCTCAGGGTGAGAAGAGATGCTGTCATCTGTTTGCCCTATGCAATGGCCTGAGCCTGCAGTCGTGTGAGTTCTACCCACATGTAGCCATTTAAGTGTACATATAAATTAGTTGAAATTAAATGACATTAAACATTCAGATTCTTTGTTACTCCAGTCACATTTCAAGTGCTCAATAACCACATGTGGCTAATGGCTACTGTGTGAGCACTGATAGCAAACATTTCTGTCACTGTAGAAAGTTCTTAGTGTTAGGTATTTTATATGTTTCTGACTCCAACATTGTTTTTTGTGGTACTGTTGTCATTTTTCAGACTCTAATTCCTCCTTTCAATTTGTTGTTTCTCATAATTAAAAGGTTTAAATGCCAGATGTAGAATTTTGTGTAAAGTAAGAGTAACCAGGCTCTAAGAGATCAGAAGAGCTTTCTTATATTCGAGTTTTTGTACTTGGAATTTCTATTTGTATTCTTAGTGCCCCAAGGCCTCTTTTGCTTGGTTATTGTTCTGCAGCTGTACTGTGGGTATAAAGGAATCAGACTGCTGAGTTCTATGGGAGAAGGACTATCAAACTTTAAAGATAAAATTGAACATTCATAGAAATGCTTTAGACCCAGTCAGTAGTCACTTATTTGGAGTACCGCCATTCAAGAGGTGCTTAGTGACCAACTGGCTACATGTACACCAAATTGTGTCTCCAGGGTTAGTCCTGGGCACCCTCAAAGTCCAGAAGAGGGTGATACCTGATCCAGGCTTTCCAGATGTTACAGGAGACAAGAGGCCAGGGAATGCTCCCTAAAGAAGTGATTCTTGAATGGGATCTTGAGGGATAAATAGGTACTGGTCACATGATGAAGGTGGGAAAAGGCAGTCAACAAAATATGTTGTATTATAGCATTAATGCAGAGACTGAAGAGTGAAATGGCATGGCATGGCATGAGAGCAGGAACTTTCAGGTTTTGTATTGATGAAGTCTAAAATAGAAGAGAATAGGCTGGGCATGGTGGCTCATGCCTATAATCCCAGCATTTTGGGAGGCCGATGCAGGTGGATCACCTGAAGTCAGGAGTTCAAGACCAGCCTAGCCATCATGGTTAAACCCCATCTCTACTAAAAATACAAAAAAAAATGCTGGGCATGGTGGCAGGTGCTTTGGATGTTGAAATGATGGGTTTTTGGAAGAGGTAGAAGAGGGGAAGAGGAATTGGGGATGGTGCCTTTGGCAGATCTTACTGTACAGAAGGTTGACTTGTTCATTCTGGCAACTCTGTGAAGGTGAAAAGGATCTGTGCTGGAGGCTTGGACACTGGTGGTATAGGAGGGCCAGGGAGTAGAAACCTGTAATAGTTGGAGAGACAGCTAATGAGGGCCTGCTGTGAGAGTGTAAGGGGGTCGAACAGAGTTTCTGATTTCAATCAATGCTGATTTCTAAGAAGTGAAATTATCAGTTTTGGGGAATTGATTAGATATGGGGGATAAAGGAGACAGAGGAATCAGAGATGACTGTAAATTTTCAGGAAAACAGATTAATTTAAACCTGTCTTCCAAGTTCACAGTGATAGGTTTTGACTTGTAGCTGCTACTGGTGATTTGCATTGGCAACTGTGATGGTTAGATTTTGGCACTTTAGGACTCCACTGTTTTGTTTGTTAAAAAAAAAGACTTGAATGGGAGCATAGACCATAGTGAAGTACCACCCTCGTATGACTTTAATTTCGCAGTGGCCTATGAAAATTTATAGAAATTTGGCTTCATTTCTAGTGGCTCCAATCCAGATGCCAAAATTACCCCATTGTTGCAACACCCCTTGAGTGGACCGCTGAACCTGTTATTCATTAGGAGCAGCTGAAAACCATCAGCCAAGCTCCCATACTATGCCAACAATAACACCAGTCAAATTTCAAGGTAACTCCAGTTTTCAGAAATGCATGAATCTCAAAATCTGTCTAGCCAAACTCTTATTTGTATTTTTATGTATACATATTATATTTAAAAAGCTAGTGGTTTCCTTACTTTCCATAATTATACATTGCTTCTTTTATTTTATAAATTGAGCTCTCAGTGTTGGTGAAGACATACCAATAGATCTGTAGCCAATTGCTTTAAAATGAAAATACAAATTCAGTCTGGATGGTGATACCAGGGGAGTAGCCTGCTCAAAGGGGCCCATTATGATGAGGCTTATATTGAAAGCAAACATTCTCACATACCTGTAGTGCATTTTAAAAGGATTTCCCAAGTAACAGTTAACATTTGTTAAGCTTTCAGAAAAACCTAGTGCTCTAGTTTTTCATATTAAGGAAATATGCAAATATATGTTGATACTTTGTTTTTTTACTGACATACTTTATGACTGCATGACTAAAGCCACAAAACATTAGGCACCTACCACTTATTTTCTTTCAGATATATTTAGCCACTGCATCTGGCCTTTGTTGCCAAATATTTTATTCCTTGTTACTCTAACTACTCCATCAATTTGGATCTTTAATGGTCTGGCAAATTTTGAATGATTGCTTAGAAGATGTGAAACCTTGTTCCCTAATCAGGAAGATTTGGGCGAGTCTTATGGTATGAGAGAAGAAGGCACATCTCTTCTAACCAACACAACAGGATTATAGCACAATTACACAACATCTTCAGCATTTTTATTTGAAGAATAATGATGTGTTTGGTGATGAACAAGTACTGTAAATTGAGAAGCATGGGAAGTTTCCACTCTTTAAGAATGTTTTCATACAAAGGAGGAAGGAAAGCTTACTTTTTTGTGGTTCTTCAGAGAGGTTATATTAACCATTTGTTAAAAATTGGATTTATGAGGAGAATTGGCTTCTAAGAGTATTCTTCACAAACTGGCATCTTTTGTGTGATGTTATTGTAGGTTGTTTAGCAACATATCAAAATAGTTTTATAAAAAGATTAATATGTGTTTCATTAATCCTAAGGAGAGCTTTCTGAAACGCATTTTAAAAAATATATAATTAACATCATTCAGTGAAATTTGTGACTTTTTAGGGTGGGAAAGAATTAAAAAAGAAGCTATCTTTTCAAACAATTTGTGATTTAATACTGGCTGGTCAAGTGAGTTGAAAAACAGTATAATTTGTATGTTATATTATTTTGAATGCCTTTTCACTCTCTTGGGAAGTTGGCTAAGCCCACAATCTTTCTCTCATGGTAAATGGCTCTAAACCTTTGATCTTCTCAAACCAGTTTGCCAGATGTAGCAGAAAGAGCATGTGTGTGACCTTTCATGTGCCAATTCAACCCGGCTGATGGGAAACTACATTAATCTTGCATGACTTTTATTTCTAGGCATTACAGCAGAAGTTCTGGTGGTGACCTCTTTCGATGAACTGCAGAGAAGGGCCTCAGAAGCAAGAGGGAAGATTGTTGTTTATAACCAACCTTATGTCAACTACTCGAAGACAGTGCAATACCGAACACAGGGGGCAGTGGAAGCTGCCAAGGTGGGGGCTTTGGCATCTCTCATCCGATCTGTGGCCTCCTTCTCCATCTACAGGTTTGTCATAATGTTCATTTGAAATCCTTTCAAAAGCAAGGGTTTTCCATGAAAGAAAAGCCCATATCAGAAAAAAAAATCCAATGAAAATACTGATTGTTCATTGAGTTTCCCCCCATTCCACATTTGGTCATTTGTTTGTAATATATTCTTTGGCTTTTCTGGATTCCAAGCATCTGCATAAAAAGCTCTAAAGATTTCCACATCCACACTGATCCCATTACATTCCTTATATAACTAATATATTATGTATTTTCATTGGAGGAAGAACTGAGTTCATGTCTGCATTTCATCAAAGCTTCCTAATGACTTCAGAGACAGCCAGAGAAGTTTTCCATGTTGCCAGAGAAGTGGAGAAGAAAGAGTGGGTGACATGATGGGGGCCAGCTATAGTAGTGAAGAGTTAAGGAATTAGAGGACCTTGGATACAGACTTGGCTCTGCTTCTGAACAACTGTGTCACCTTAGGAATGTTTCTTAAACCTCTCTAAACTTCTCTAAGCCTCATAATTTTCTTCTATTAACCAGGAATGAATAATAATAATAAGTGTATGAAATAATTTTCAGATTAAATGAGGTCAACTTGAAAAAGATACTTAATTATCTGTAAATGATTATCTACAAAGGTCCATATAAATGTTTGGTAATATTATTTGAGAGTAACATAAGACTTGTCTTTTTCTTTGTAGTCTTGATTGAGGTAATGCCATGGAACTTTATTGCCTCTCAGTCCTAGGATGAAATTCAGTATTACAGTGGTTGAAAAGTCTAAAAACTGACATGTACATGTTCAGCGTAGTTTAACAGCTATTATGGTAGTGTCCCATGTTAAGGATAAAATGTTTGAGAAACATGGGTAAAAGAAGCATAACTTTAGTGTTATAGCCTGGTCTAAGATTTTTTTAAATGCAAAAATAATAGCAGATAGGGTTTATTTGGGTCTCAAGACTGGAGTTTTAGTGTCTATTGTAAAGGGATGTTTATTCTGTACAATTGCTGTTTGGAATTGGAGACACAGCTGCTTGACCTTAATTAGCACCCTACACCACTGAAAATAAAAATTACTGGGGAGCGCATGTCAGCAGCTAGGAAACCCAGTCAGAGGGGAGTTGTACAAAAGTGCAGAGAAAAGGAAAGAGACATTTTCCTTTTATAGGGATAAGATATCTTCGCAGGGGAGGAGGATGCGGCATGTTAAAACTACTTGTTCGAAGTTTTATGACTAGTTACATTGATGTCATAGTACTAAAAATAATGTCCTTTCTGGGGTCTTTAGATGTTTATGACTAGTGAAATAATGATTGGACCATATTGTTTTGGATGGTTAAGCTCCTCAGGAGGAAAGTCCTAAAATGGCTAGCTTACTTCCCATAATAACTCCATCACCCCTTGGAATAACATACTCAGCAAGCTGTGGCCATTCACCATGATTTCACTGGTCATGAGACTTAAATTATGGAGCTCATCTGTTGCTTTGTGAAACCGGGTGATTGCCAGAAACCTTTAAGAACTACTAATCATAAGGCTAATAAATTCCTAAATGACTTAATGCACAGTAATTTGCCAGGATTCACTGGCATTATTTTTTTTTTCTGGCATAATAAAGACATCTGGAAACCCAAGCTACAACTTCGGAGTACCAGAACTGTCCAGCAAGGGACTTCAGAGTCCGTTGCTAGCTTCTAAGGTTTGAGGTCAGCATCTTGTAGTGTGTATTAAAAGGACCTTTTCCCTCATATCCTTATATCTAGACTGATTATAATGTTTCACTGGTTTTATAGCCAACCACATTTCACTGGACTCTCAACTGGTATAATTCTATTCTTTCAACATTTGTAAATACATAATAACATTGGACTTTACATAGTACTTTAGAATCTTTCACGTTACTTTATTTGTGCTGACAAGAATTCAGTGGCTCATGCAGAAGGGTCATTATCAGTCCTATTTTATTTATAGGGAAATAAAAGTTCAGACAATTAAACATATTAACATGTATAAGTCTTACGTCCTGAGAAATAAAAACTAAAATAAAATGTATGTTTGTCTACTTCTCACTTACTGTTTTTAGAACTAAGTTTTCTTATGAGTAGTCTCTACTTCTATCTCTAATTCCTCATTTTTATTCACTCTCCAAACTATTATAGCCTGGCTTTTGCTAGTACTGAAACAGGACTTGTTAAGGTCACAAATAGCTGCCTATTTGTCAAATTTAATGGACATTTTCCGGGCCATCATCTTACTTCACTTCTCTGAAGTTCTCACCTCCATTGACTGCATTTTCAGTATTTCTTCTCTTTGACTTCCTTGATTTGTTTCTCGTGTTTTCTCTCTCTTGCTTGCCATCACTCTGACTCTTATACCCTTTCATCCTCTTCTCTATTTCTTCCCTATATCTCTGGCTTCTCACTGTGACTATTTTACCTGAATATCCTCATCATGCTTCTATAAATATGGCTCATGCTTGTGAAGATGTGACTTCAACCACAATCTACATTGTGGCAATTTCCAAACCCCCGTCTTCCATCCATACCACTGCTGTGAGCTCTAGGTCTATATATTCACCTGCCAGTGGATTCTTCTTTTGGATGTTCCATAGCTATTTCAGTTTCATTTTTTTCACAATTAACCTTATCCTTTACCTTCTAAGTCCTTTATTTTTTTTTTCTCTTCCTGTGTCCATCATTTCTAATAGTTACTGAATCTCTTAGGTTCTGCTCTTTATCGGTCACTTCAATGATTACACATTTAGCAGCTCCTTTTCCCAGCATAACTACACATTCTAGTAGTCAGGGATCACTATCACTTTTCCCACGTACATCTCCTCAGAGTTTTGTGACTTTGCATATGCTTTCTCCTCTGCTACCCTCCATTTCTCTTCTCACTGCCACACACTATCTTTTAAGAGTCATTGCAGGTGGTTCTTCCTCTGTGGAGCCCTCCCTGATATCCACTTGTAGCCCAGGTGAGTTGCCTCTTTTTTGTGTTCCCACATCGTCCTGTGCATGGTCTGTATCATAATGTCTTGGAAGTATTAATAGTTTTGGTTCATGGTTTGGTAGAGTAGACTAACTGTTGGAATAAACAGCTTCAAATCTCAGTCACTTCACACAATAGGAGTCTCTTGCATATAATTCACATAATAGTTCCAAGGGGATGGTCAGAATGTGGCCTTCTGCTCCTTACCATCTGTGGCTCTATCATTTTTGAGATCTGAGTTCTCTGCAGAGTCTTCTTCATACATCTGGCAATTAAAAGGATAAAGAGAGAAAGTTGATAACCTAGAGGGGTGTTTTCCATGGTTATCCTTATCTAGGCCTGGATATGGCACACCTCACTTCTGTTCATATTCGCCTGGACAGAATGCCTTTCCATAGAGGCCAGGAAATTTGGCCTCTATCTTTATGTCCAGGTGAAAGGAAAGTGAATTTGGTGAAATACTGCCTGGTCTGACCCAATTGCCTGTCTCCACACTAGACTGTAAGTTCCAAAAAGGCATTGATTCTGTGTACTTTTTAAATCTGGGTTCCTATCATCTAGTATAATGTTTGATGCGTAGTAATGACTTAGGAAATGCCTACTAAAGGAGTGAATTTGTCTGAAGATGTAGAGTAAAACATGGCAGGGGTCTCACAACAAACCACCTGACCCAGTTCCTAGTGCTCTTTGACCAAACTTTGTAACCTCTATATAGTAAGTTTAAAACAATTTGAAGTTTTAGGGCACTTTGCTCTGTATTTGGAGGTAAATATTCAGATGCCCAATATGCCAGATTATACGTTTTTCTGCCACAACACTTATGAACAAAGATGTTTTGAGTTGCTGATTAAGGAAAATAACTCGCTTCTCTCTGAAATGCATTTCACCCTTAGCTCTATGGGACTGGGTGATACTGGATTTCATCTAAAAATATTATAGACGTCAGCAACACTAGAGAACATAATATATATTGTAGTTTGTTGCTGTTTGAATTCAGTTTGAGAATCCCCTGGAGGGCAGTTTGATTTGACCAGTTTGATTGGACTCTTTTCGGTGCAGTCATCAATATCATCAGCTGTTCTGGATCTGCAGCAGTCACATGGTTACTTGACATATGTCCTAAAAAAATGTCCATTGCTTGTTGCCGGCATCGTCTCCAGGTTTGTTATTGTTATTCTCTGTATTGCCATTATTGGTGTTCTTGGGCTCAACGTCAAGAAGATCTTTCCTTTATTAATGCTTTTCTAATCACCATTTTCAACTGAGGTCCCCCGTTAGAGCTTCTTTCCTTCACCATTTTCAACTGAGATCCCCCACTAGAGCTTGAAAGTTTTTCTAAAGGTAAAATACCTTTCTTTGCCTTTGTCATGGGAAACTATTTTAAGAATAAGTGCAATTAATTAGAGATTTAAGCCCCACAAAGGAAAACTTCTCTACAGAACTATTTGTCTTACATTATTTCTCAAGTTTATCATATTGTTTAGTATATATTTCTTGAGAGCTTACCAGTTGCTCAGAAATTTCCAAATATGAGTATTACTAAGGTGCATTCCATATTTTCTTTGTCCTCAAGAAATATTTTATGTAGCCAAAAGAGAAAGGGGTAAAACATAAGTGATTAGTGTTATTTGTTTTATAGTTAGTGCCAAGTGAATAATTGGGGGAAATGGATAAAGGAAGGAAATTACTACTTATTAAGCATCTACTTTGTATTATTCTAAAGGGTTAAAGAGTTTGTCTCAATTAATTCTTTATGTAACCCAATAGAAGTAGATACTGTTTTGGTATCTCTTTTACTAAAGGACAGGTTCAGAATGATTAACCACTTATCATGCTGTATATCTATTGAAAGAAGTAGGATTCAAATTCAGAGTCGTTGGCTCTGATTTCCATGCTGTTAGATTGCACCAAGCAACCTGGAGAGCTAATGCTATAGGAATCTAGAGCAGATAACAGAAGTCTGATTGGGGCTGATTGCACTGACAATGTGGATTTGGGGTGTGTTCAATAAAAAGGCAGAAT